ACCCTAGATTACCTATGCTTATACTGCCAGAAAAGTAAGTGGTTATAATAAATTTTGTTACTAGATTTACATATGCAGATGGCATGTGACTGCTGGCATGATTAGTCTGTTGTATTGATGCAGCTACTGAAACTTTGCTTTCTATCCACAATCCTGAATAAGTCATTAAAATCCTGAGAACAATGAAACCCTTTATTTCTCACATTAGATAATCTACTCCTTAAACACACATACACACACCAAAACAAAACAGATGCCATCGTTTCCAAGTCCTCAAGAAGCTGAATTCTATTTCCTTATGAGCCATTTGCCACTTTGAGCCTCAGAGGAAAAATACTGTTCTCTGGCCAGGTTTCTGGGCCAGCTGATCAGGGACCTGGGGCACCCATCCTTGGGAGGAAAAGCCACTGCAAGACCCCTGCCTTCCTTCACTGGTGCCTGATTCTTGGGACAATAAGAATAAAGATGAATAGTTTTTGTACACATTATTGGCTAGACACTGTTCTATGTGCTTTACAGGTTTCTCATGTGTTCTTCACAATCATTCTAGGGTAGGGGTTAGAAAATGTGATTTTACAGTGAAGAAACTAAGTAATTTCTAAAGGCCACACAGTCAAGAAACTGGAAGTTTAATCCAGGCTGTCAGACTCCAGAACTTGTGTTCTAAACGTTGATATTAGGCTGCCTTCTTGGCCAAAACAAACTGTAAAGAAGATAGAAGTGGAGGTGTTCTGACTGAAGCAGATGTGGGATGGGTGGAGTCTGTGCTATCTGACTCTGCAGCCCCTGGGGCTCTAGAGACACATAGCTCTTCTGAATGGACACTTCATCAGCCCAGCTTCTCTGCTCTCTACAGGTTCCTATTATTAGTCACTCTTCATTATTCATGGATTCTGTACTTGTGAATTTGCCTAATTGCTACAATTTATTTGTAACCTCAGAATCATGAGGGGGCTGTCATGGTTATTTGTGGACATGCACAGAGTACTGAAGAGTCTGTCACCCAACATGCATGTTCCCACCGGAGAAGGAACATGGTGATGGGCTGCCTTCTCTAAACAGGCTTTTTTTTTTTTTTTTTTTTTTTGGCAGGGAGGGAGGGGAGGGACGTCAACTTAATGTCAAGGCTTTCAAATTTTTGTGCTTTCTGTTGGTGATTTTGCCCCCCGAAACATAGTGCTGAAATGTTAATGTTCCCAACTGCAAGAAGCCTGTGATGAGCCTCGCAGAGAAAATACATGTGCTAATTGAGCTTCATTCAGGCATGAGTTATAGCACTATAGGCCGTGAGTTCAATGTTAATGAGCCAATTAAATTAAATATATATAAAAAATATGTATGTTAAATAAGGTGTCTTTTAATAGAAACACATATAAAACAAGGCTTTGTATTGATTGATTGACGAAAATGTTGTGACCAGACCAACTCTCTATTTCCCTTAAGAGCCCCTAGCAATCTCTATTTCAGTGTTTATGGCCACTTTATAGAATATAACTACCATGAAAAATGAGAAATGACTGTAGTCGTTTATTGAGAGCCTCTTATAAGCTGCATAATGTGCTAGAACCTCATTTAAATTAACCCTAATTCTCCCCAACTCTGTAAACAAAGTATCATCTCTAATTTATATACGGTAAAACTCAGGCCAAAATAGTTTGGCAATGTCACTAAGCTAGAGGGAGGTGTGTCAAAGATGAGTAGCACATGGCTCTGTTGTCCTCTTTGCTTTTTACTCAGTTCATTTGTGAACAAATTCCTTGACATCTTGTGCAATTCAGCCATATCCATATCCCTGACTCCCACTGGATTTCCTTTCCATTGGGTTGACCACAGTACTCCCCCAAAGCTTTTCTCTGCTCTACAGTCACACAAATGGAAACCTTCTCATTGATTCTAGGATAACTTTTTTTAACTGAAGTGTTTTATTAAAAAGGTTTCTAAAGTGATTTTCCCATTATGTTTCCTTGCAAAGCCATCTTGTCAGCCATCTTGCAAAGTTCCAGGTGGCTGACTTGTGAGAACGGAGATCACTGGGTCTCCCTGCTCCACAGTGCTGGGGGCTACTACCATGACATTGCCTTCTGTCATTGAGCTCTGCGGGGTGCCCTTCTGGTCTGCCTTCCCTTCCTTCAGCTACTCTCCACTGTCCCTGCCCCTGGCTTGCTGTCTATGACCTCCCTCCAGATGTCGCTCCAGGAGAGCAGTCATCTCCTCGCGGGGGGGAGGGCCAGGTACTGGTTGTGGTAGCAGCTGAACAGGATGTGCTCCCCACTTGGGGTCTCCTCTTGACCTCAGATGGTGTCTTTGTCATCAGTGACCAGGTACCCCAAGACTACCATATTGTTCTTAATCAGGATAATTCACTCCACAAACTGAAGCCCCAGGTGATCGTCCACTCAGCGGGACTTCTCCCCCACAGTGTTTGTACTTCATCAGAGGGCTAGTGCATATGAAGACCACAGTGTCCTATATGCTTCTCATCTCCTGCATGGCTGCCAAAGGCTCCAAGTCTAAGAAAAAACCTTGGGCTTCATACACATTGGCCACTTTGTCCTCTAGGTCCAGCCACAGGCCTTGGTACTGCTCACCGCAGGCAGCTCCCTGGGAAAGCTGAGGCAGACGCCCTACAGGAGGCCGGCCTTAGAGCCCCAGCCTCCAGCCTCCATGTCCTGCCCCCGGCACGGAGCTTGGGATGCTGGGGAGGCTGGGACAGGGGGCGGGGATAATTTTAGAGAGAGCCATGTGTTTGATGCTCCAGACATACCATCCTTCTCTTTTGTCCACATCTTGCTTCTGGCAGCTGCTAGGGTTTAAATTTCCAGGCAGAGCAAAAATATCTTTTAGTAGGAGAAAAGGCAAAGAAGAATGGAAATGGTGTGGACTTAGAGAAGCAAAATGAAAACAGATAAGGATGGAGAGAGAACAGGCAGTGTTACCTGTTCAGAAGATGCCATGGGAGCAAAGGGATAGACAAAGGGTGGGAACCCAGAGGAGTAGACCCTGAGATGTCTATGTAATACTTTGTTTTTATTTTATTTATTTCTTTATTTAATATTTAAAAAAATATTTATTTTGGGGAGACCACAAGCGGGGGAGGGGCAGAAAAGGGGGACAGAGGATCCCAAGTGTGCTCTGCACTGACAAGTTGATAAGCAGCAAGCCCCATGAGGGGCCTGAACTCACAAACCGTGAGGTCATGACCTGGGCCAAAGTCGGAAGCTCAACCGACTGAGCCACCCAGGCACCCCGATTCTTTATATTTTTAAATCATTTTCATGTCTGTGATTTTATTTTGTATATCACAGCCACTCTGTGTAGGCAAAGAACACATTTTTTTCTACTTTACTGACTAGAAAACTGAAGCCTGAAAAGCTGTAATGATTTACTCGAGGTTGCAAAATTCTATTTTATTCCACATTCAGAATAGGTTATTTATAGCATACTGCAAAATTCAGAAATTACCTTCCTGATATTTCAGATTTTAAGGCGATATCACAGACAGTCTATTAGGAATCAAAGATATTTTCCTTTATTTTATACTGGAACAATATGGCTATTTCAATATTTTTTACTTAACTACAATTTCTCTAAATTTCATTGTTCATGTTGAAGCATTTGACTAAAATATAGCAAAACTACTGTGCCTTTCAAGGGGGTCAAAATGTTTTCTGTGGGTGGAAACGTGTCATGTGAATAAAGATGAAAGTAGCTTTGTTGTACTCCTCTTCTGGGAATCTTTTTAGGGATATTACTAAAGTCAAGAATAGATCAGAAATGAAGAAAAGATGGGAATGAAAGAATAGCTTTCATGGAAAATTGAAATCATTCCTTTTAAAGTTCACAATTTCCCGCCTGATGATAGATCCCCAGCCTTGCAAGATGGGTTTCTCCTAGCTATAAAGGTGACGGCCACGAGAGGATTTTGATGCAACTGTGATTGATGTCAGCAGGTCCAGATGGTGATACTTTATTACAAATTTAATGGACATTTATTAAGCTGATTGAACGGGAGCAGCCCTGGCTAGATGGGGCTGGGAAAGACAAAAGGGATATACAACCTATGAAGGTGTTGGGGGCCAGTTAGAGATGGAAATTCCAGTGACTGGAGTTGTTACACACCCACTTCATGCTAAGTGCTCTCAACATCATCATTTTATGTCTTCCTCCCACAAACCCTGACTGAAACAGCATGATTCTCCCTAATGCAGGGATCCTAATCCTTCTGAGGATATGTGGGGAGATTCAGTGACTTCCCCACTGACCAGGTAGCTGCCCCAGGCTTTGTACCCAGGCCTTTGTATCCAAGTAAAAGGCTCTCATCACTCACCCAAACAGGACATAGCTAGAGAGTAACTGAGTCACAGCCTAAAGTTGGGACACATGTCTGAGATGCAGACTTCTGCTTTCATACATGGTGTAGGAATTCAGAGTGAGGGCCAGACTCTTGCAGGCCAGAGTTATGATGGCTTATGCTTCATAGAGAAGACAAAACATGAATATTTTAGTGCTTCTTTAAAAAGTGAAGGAGTTGTGGAGATGTTTGCAAGGAGGAAATACCTTTTTAGTGGAGAACTTTCCTTGGCCAGTTAACAGAACCTTTTCTTTCTTGGGTTAAATGTAGTAGCTTCTATTATATCCTGAAGCATCTGGCTCTCCCAGTAGAGACATGTGAGCACTGCCACGGGCCTGGAATGTCCCAAGAGGGTAAGAATAGCCCATAATGAGAGACGACTCTTGCTGTATTCTGGTCACTGCAGTTGTCAAGAATGCTTTGCCTCAGAGGACAGCTCAGGGCTGTCTCAACTCGGGAGACGGAAAAATCGCACTCCCATCCCCCAACCCATTCCTGGGCTCCAAGCTTTCCTTTTATATCTTCTGCTCTCACCTTTAAGTCTTTTGTAATGAAGATACATTTATTCCTGTGAAGATTTTTCACTTTCTTGGAGAACACAGGCTTCTGATGTCTCCAGCAGCCTTGAGTCTGTGACGCTCTGGAGGCAATGGAACGTTTGGACCTTCTGGGATTCCTTCTCATCACCTTCAACTGCAACATGACCATCGTGGGTGAGTATAGGAAACAGCTACAAAACTCTTGTGGTTTTGTTTTCATCACTTTGCCTGGCCTGTTTATTGTGGGAAGAAACGGTGCCGTGTGTTCAAGCTTTCTTTTCTTTTTTTTTAATTTTTTTTAATGTTTTATTTATTTCTAGGAGAGAGAGAGAGAGAGACAGCGTGAGCAGGGGAGGGTCAGAGAGAGGGGGAGACACAGATTCCGAAACAGGCTCCAGGCTCTGAGCTGGCAGTCAGCACAGAGCCCGACGCGGGGCTCGAACCCACGAACCGCGAGAACATGACCTAAGCGAAAGTCGGACGCTTAACCGACTAAGCTACCCAGGAGCCCCTGTTCAAGCTTTCTTTTAACTGCTCTACAGTTCCATCATCATTTAAGGAAGGCTTGGATGTGAGTGATCTCTCCTGGGGCCTGTTCTCGCTGACATTTGGGTGCTGAGCCTGAAAGACTGAAACAAAAGAAAGGAGTATCTTTGTGTAACTCTTCGCTGGCTTCCTCCTTATCAGGAGAAGGAACAATACAGTAAAAATTAAAGAGAAATGAATGTCTTGATTACGCTTTCTTCCTGTTCATCTTTTTCTTGAAGCTTAATTTGTAAAAGATTAGTAATTCATTTGTGTATTTCAAGCCAAGTCAAATTTTAGTTTATTTTTTTTAAGAAAATAATAAATATTTCTGAGTTGGATGCAGACATATCAAACTTTCAGAGAGGTATGGGAGTCCTGGAAAAATGAAATGAGCAAGGGATTAAAATATACCCATGAAGTGGTTGTTTTTCTTACTCATTATTTTGCAGAATTTAAACAAGATCAACTTGGTCTTACAAGTTTGAGTCAATGAGCTGATCACATAATTCTATTCTTTGAGTTTAACTGCCTTCCTTTGTAATAGATTTTTTTCTGATGTCAGGTGATGTTTTCTGTATCTTGTCACAAAACAAAATACTTGCAGATTATGTGAATCTTAAACATGAATCTTAAACATGTTCGGAAAGAGTTAATTCAAGTCATGAAAATCAGACTTGAGGTTATTTTGATTTCCTAGGTAGGTCTCATTTATTCATGATACACTGAAGAAAGAGGTACCTCATTAAATCATAATACCTGGAATAGAAGGAAAAGGAATTCTGAATCCCTGACAGATCTGAAAAGTTGAATGTTGTTAAGGAAGTTTGATTCCAAGGACCATAAAGCAACAGTAGAAATCTTGTGGACCATTGTCATAAATAAAGACCACTGAACTACATTTAGCAGCCATACACAGTTACACAAATGTGCTAACAGCCTTTCAAAAGTTATCTGCAGACAGTAAGATCTTATTTACATCATTAATTTGCTCAGCTCAACTTTCTTTCCAGAATCTTCAATCCAGGAGACACTACCACCAATCTGAACGTGTGGAGTCAGACCAAGCATCTTTAGTGTCTAACGCTTTTTTAAAATCTGTCGATCTCAAAGCCTTTAACAGACAACTGGCCCAGCACAGCGCCCGAGGCACTGCAAGTGCTCCATAAATATTTGGCAGAGGAGCTAACTAGCAGACGCTATTGCTCTGACTAAAATACATGCTTACTGACTTCTCAGTTCTCCAGCCTCCGCCCTGTAAATACTTAAAAAGTGGTGTTGGGAGGAAATGCATTTGTATGCTGGTGATGGTGCCCTTCCTGCTTCCTCTTTTCTAGGGAAGGTCTGGCTTATCTTCATGATACTGCTGAGGATGGTGGTGATCATCTTGGCAGTCTCCCCCGTGTACCAAGACGAGCAGGAGAGGTTTGTGTGCAACACTCTGCAGCCGGGATGCGCCAATGTTTGCTATGACATCTTCTCCCCAGTGTCCCAGCTGCGGTTCTGGCTGATCCAGAGTCTGTCGGTGCTCCTCCCTTCTGCTGTCTTCAGCGTCTACGTGCTGCACAGGGGGTCAGTGCTGGCCGCCCGCGGACTCTGCTGGCCGGACCGCGGTCCCGGGGACCCTGACCCCGCTGACCTGAGCCCCGGGGACAGGGAGCGGTGCCACCTGGCCGTGCCAGACTTCTCCTCTGGCTACATCGTCCACCTCTTTCTTCGGATGCTGACCGAGGCAGCTTTTGGTGCCTCGCACTACCTCCTCTTCGGATTCTTGGTCCCAAAGAGATTCTCTTGCACGCACTCTCCGTGCACCAGCGTGGTGGACTGTTACGTCTCCAGGCCCACGGAGAAGTCCATTATGATGCTTTTCATGTGGGCGGTCAGTGCGCTGTCGCTGGTGCTCAGCTTGGCCGACCTTGTCTGCAGCGTGCACTGGAGGATGGGCGCGCGCTTGCGCGCAGCCGCCCCTGCCCCCGGCCGTCAGCCTGCGCAGAGCGGGGGCTCGAGGCCGGGTCAGGCGGCCAGCAACGCAGGTGGGTGGGCGGAGGTGGGAGTGCCAGTCCACCCCGGCCCGTGGGCTGCAGGGGAGGGTGCCGACAGCCCTAGAGGCAAGTCTGCCGCGTCCGTGCGGACAGGGCCTCCTGATGAAGAGGACAGTGACGTGATGTCCTCGGCCAGCAAAGAGCCGGGGAGCAGGCCCCACAGAGAAGCCTCTGGGGACTCAAGGGACGAGGGTCCCACAAAGTCAGAGGAGCACCCTTTGGCACCACGGAGCCCGCCGGCCCGGCGCTGTTCGTCTGGTCAGCTGCAGCCCCCCGACTGGCCCGCCAACCCGAGATCCAGAAAGTCCGAGTGGGTCTGAAGAGGGAACGGCAGGCAGCCAGGGGGCACAGTCCCGTCCAAACGGAGACCTTGCCCATGAAGATGCACATCCGCTTCGACCTGTGTGAAATCCTCATCAACCCTCAGAGAGAAAGGCGAGCTGGCACGGGACACGTGGACTTCATGCGGCACTCAGATCCTCGAGATACAGATTTCATTTAGACAATGCCTTCTCTTGACCAAAGAACTTGATGTTGTGCTTTTGACAATGTGACTGGAGGCTAAAATGATGAATTAGAGTGTCAGGTGACTGATTAATGCGACACTCTTGTTCTTTACCATAGTATGTGTTTAATGTACAAGCATGTTGTCTTACATTAATAGAGCTCTTTCACATTTTAATGTTTTCTGGTGAATTATTATAGAGTTTTTTAAATTTTGTTCGTTTTTGTTTTTCTATTTGGATAAAAGGGGCATCTGTTATGCATGGCATCAATAGAGAGGCGTTAGTTTAACTTCTCCCAACCCCTTTAATAAAATTAATCATGATTGAATTGCGATCTCAAGCTTCATAATTCACAGTGTTATAGAAAAAATGACAAATGCAGAGAATGTGGCTCTAAACAGTTGGGGACTTGGGGAGGCAGGTATCTTAGACTGTCTTTGCTTGTGACTATAATTTGCATAGGTGTTGAATGGATCTCTGGCATGCTGGTTCCTTTGTTTGCGGAGTGGCTGCCCTCACTGAGTAGACAGAACACATTTTTATTTGTCTTTTTATTTTTTATTTTTAATTGAAGTATACTTGACATAGAGGAGGCTCTGGTGCTGTTGATGTGTGGAGGTAGAGCCGTTACGTGTTTTCTAGATTTTTGTCTGTGTCCTTTAGAGAGATGTACAGTTAAGGTTGCTCTAAGAGGCTTCATGTTCCAGTGGACAGATAAGAAACACCATTAGTGCTGTGGTCTGACAGTCCGTGGTCATGTTTTTGGCTGTAAACTAGGAACAGAAAACTTCCCATGTCTGGACATGAGCCTCACGTAAGTTTCTCTCTGTATCTCTCAGTTGCCCTGTTTTTGGCCCAAGTTAGAAGTGACTTTGTTAGAGATTTTAGAGTTGCCTTTAACTGCCACATAGATGGACACAGTGTAGCAGAAAGAGCTACTATGGGACAGGATAAACCTGCTTACTCATCAAGAGGGGAGGAAGAGCCATCTGGGTAGACTTCCAGAATTGATCAATGTCTTCTAGTCTCCAAGCAGAAAATAGCTAAGATGAGTAAATTGCCCTTCAGTCCAACAAATAATAAAAATGGTGAACCAATGCACTCATGAAAACAATGGCCACTTTCAACTGTTCTAAAAAGGACTTTGACAATGAAATATCTGCCAGGATGGAGAATAACGTCCTGCTTGATCTATTCATCTATCCATCTATCTATCTATAGATACAGGTATCTACAGGATATCAAAACAATTAGTTAAAACTTATATCTTCCAAAATTGGTTCTAGCATAAAAATATTTGAATGAATGTGTCTATTTTTAACATGTGCAGAAAATCTCTTTCTCTGGCTCCTCAATTCACTGAAAATTGTGAGCCATGACTCAGACCCCTCTCTTCAATAGTTAGATCAATGCCTGGTATTGTTCAATAACTGTGTCCATAACTGTTATGTTTGAATCTACTATTCTTAAAGTATTCAGGGGCAAATTTGGTTCTTCTCTCTTGCAGCATGCAATTCTGGTGGACTTCCCAAGGTTGGGTATAGTCTTAGAGATACAAGAGTTGTCTACCGCTACATTACTATTTCAAAACATAAGCTCTGTGGGTCTCTCAAGCACCCCAATACTAGCCTTGATAGCATTGAGTGAGGAAATCAACTCAACAAATGTTGGTGGTGTGTTCCCACACACGGTGCCTACACAACAGCTAGGGGAGAAAGATGGCAAGGACTGAGCTGGGGCTTTCTCTTGGCCACAACCCCACAGAGAACTGGGCAGAGCATGTCTGTGTTCCTTCTCTTGCTGGAGTCTATGCTCAAGTTTGGGTCTGCAAACAAGTGTGGTCTTATTTGGGTGGCACTGGGAATGGCTACTTTTGCCTCTCTGCTGGTGTCCAAAATCCCACTATCAGAGAGCCAGAGCCTTGGAGGTTTGTTTCATGGAAAACTGCAAATACTATTCAGAGCAATGGGTGCCAAGAGAAAGGGGAGAGGAAAGGAGCCAAGGGTAAGACATCTGGGTTCTGATTCCATTTCACCATTACTTGGCAGGTCACTTGATCCTCTGGGCCTCAGTTTCCTTCTCTGAGTAAAGAGGAACCTAGATTAGATGATTCCTTAGTGCTCTACAAATGTAGAAATTCATCAATACCATGTGCCATGTGCAGAGGTCATTTTAACACTAAAAAGGGTGAATTTATTAGACCCTTCCATTCTGCTAACTGGGTAAGCATGGGTTTTGATGGAATGAGAATGATAACAGGACAAAACTACTCTCACAGGAGGGGAAGCTAAGCAAGGACATTAGCTCAGGTCCTTGATTATGCTGGGGCTGGAGAGAAGAAAAAGATGACAAGGGTGAAGAGAACTGAATTGGGCCTAGAACCTAAATCTCTTGTACTTTGAGATTGTCCTCTTAATTATGATTATTTTAGATAAGTCTCTTGGTGTAAATGCCCATGAGTGTGCGTGTTGTGGTGGGGCTCTTTCGTCTTTGCAAGGTAAGAATGGCTCATTAAATATTGTGTAACCTTCTAAGAACTTTAATTCATAAAACTTCCCAGGTCAGGGGCGCCTGGGTGGCTTAGTCGGTTAAGCGTCCGACTTTTGCTTAGGTCCTGATCTCGCGGATCGTGGGTTCGAGCCCCGCGTCGGGCTCTGTGCTGACTGCCAGCTCGGAGCCTGGAGCCTGTTTCAGTCTGTGACTCCCTCTCTCTCTGACCCTCCCCTGCTCACGCTGTCTCTCTCTCTCCTAGAAAAAAAAAAAAAACATAAAAAAAAAAACAACTTCCCAGGTTAGTGTCCAGGTGATTCTCAGGTGGTCCAGCAATGATGGGAGCCCAGTGGTGGAATCCAGACTCTGAATCAACATGTACTGTAGCTGGTTGTTGGTTTCTTTTGACAAACACAAAAGAAAGATTATGAGAATCAATGAGACAAAGCTTATGCATAGCTAAGAAAAGTATTATTTATGGAATTAATGTGATTTTTTTCCTAGGATGTTGCAAACTATTGTGAGGACCTACTTCGAATTTTTTGAGTGTCAATGTGGTTTCAGGCCAGGATGGAGGATGGTGGTGCTTTGCAAATGAAGAAAGGGGGCACCTGGGGTTCTTAGGTACAGACTTGCTGAGGGTCTCTTACAATGGAGATGCTTCCCCTCCTCTGCCCCCAACTTGAGCGTTCCAACTTCAGGGACAGGGGCAGCTATGGAGTCTGGAAGTCCCGCCAGCTACAGTTTGGTTGTGCTCTAGGATAAATGTTTCCTAGAAACCGAACAGATGTCTTACCCCTACCATTTGAAATATATGTATATCTATTTTTCCTTTCTTCTGTCATTCATAGAACAAATCTATTCCTCAGGGAACTTTCTCTCTGTGTTGTGAACTGAGAGAGTGAGTGGCAGAAAATAGAGCCAAAAGAAGTGACTAAATTTTTTCAAGCCCGAACTTGGATGAAATGAGTTTCATGGAGAATTCAGGAAATTAAAAGTCAAATGCAAAAACTAGATTTATTAAGGAGAGTTTCCTCCCTCCCCTCCTCAGCAAGAGTAGAGATGTCACATTTAAAATAGTGAGTAATTGTAAAGAGTGTGCCTACCTGGCCGTGACAGTGATTGGCCATTCACTTCCTTGGCCATCTTACAGCTGAAAGACTCCCCAGTCTGTCACCTGTGTGTCACTGGTCTGGTTCCTCTCCCTCTAACCCTCCACCTTTTTCTCTAGTGGTGCTTCATACAGCTCCTGTGAGTGTTTTATCAATAGGCTGAGACAAGATTTCAAATCAATGGAGCTACGTTGATAAACCAGTATTTATGAGTATCACCTCTGTACCTAGCATTTAATTTCTTATTTCTGTTTCTATGAAGCTAAAAAAAATGAAAAACAAAAAACAAAAAGCCTTATCATATGACAGGTCAGCAAACTGGTGGGAAAAAGCTTAACAAAATGTCATTGTTTTAGTACCACTGTTGAAACAACTCCTCTGATTCCTGTCAGCTTTAATTTTCTCAGGGCTGACCTAGGCACTATAAGGACTCACCTCATGTTGTGGGCTCTGTTGGGAGGCTCAGATGAGTGTGGATGTGGATGCCCCCTGAGAGAGACAGAACTGTGTATCACAGTAGGGTGTTTCTTGGGCTGTGAACTGGTCCATGCTCAACATATCACCCTAAACAGGTCTCTCCAAGAATATGTGATGATACAATATTTGCACAAGGAGAAAGATGTCCACAGACATAGGAATGCTCCAAACCTTCTTCCCACATCTTTTCTTACCAACAGAGGCCTTTCTTGGACCATATTTAGGACACAATATTTATAAACACGAAAATGTTAATTTACGTCTGGTGGTAACTCTTGACCATTTCCCCGCTTCTCTGTTTTTGCTTATCTCTGCCTGGAAAAAGCAGGGTTTAAGAACTCGAAGCGGCAGATCTGGAAATTGTATTAGGTTACTTTGGATAACAGAGGGAGTGAGAAATTAGGAATAAGGGAGAAATTGTGGACAATCTGGCCTCATGGGAAGGAGATAATTTAAAAGGACAATGAGCCACCCTCTTGGGGTTAAGATCCAGTCCCTTATTTCTAATTAAATTTCTTTATTTTGCCCACAAGTGTCAGATTGTTCTTTACCCTGGCTTTTCACGTGATCAGGATGCTAACTGCAAGTGGCTAGCTTGAGATGTAGATACATGATAAAAGATGACAGCCAAGACAGACAATGGTGGAAAGAGTAAATATGGCAAACCCAATGGTGTGACCACTCAGGAAGGTGGTAGTGGGTGCCAACAGAACACAAATATTCTTTCTTCCTATA